AAAAAAAAAAAAAGACAGGGACATGCGCTGCAACAAAATATGTTTCTTCCCAGAAAATTTCCAAATAGAAAAACAGAAACAAGATGATGCATTCATTGTGTGAGGCTCTTCCAAGTCCGTACAAGAAATAAAATTTACAGGCAGAACTAAGACACACAGACACAAGACCGCAAGTCCAACATTTGTCAGCTGAAATCCACAAAAATGTCATAACCGAGTCTGGTTTGACCCAGAAATGTACTTTAGCAGATTAACGATTTAGGATATCTATTAGTATAATTCACTGCATTAACAGATTAAAGGAAAAAAAGTGATTACCTAATGGATGCAGAAAAGACATTTGATAACATCCAATATTCATTCATGATTTTAAGTTTTTCAATCTAAGGATCTTCTTTAAACTGATAAAGTTGTCTACTAAAAAGCTTACAGAAAATACTGCATTCAGTGATGAGTTATTTGAAGAATTTATTTCCTTTAAAATCAGAACAAGATGGTAATTCCAGTTATTACTCCCTCTAGGGGGCACCAGTGAGTGCAAGGAAAAAAAGAAACATAATCGTTGGTTTGCAAAACACAGAGACAGCTTCTATCATCTGGAGACGGTATGATTTGCCTACTGTGTTAGCCGGAGGTCTCCAGAGAGAGAGAGGGGGAAATATTTATACACATACACCCATAAGCACACAAGACCAAGAAGATATCCTAGCCCTAGCCCTACCCCCAGCTCATTACACTACTAAAACTTCTGCCCTGGGCGGGGGTTATCTGCCATTTCTTTGATCGTGTGATGTACGTGCCAATGTGATTAAGAGCATTGCCAGTTGCTCTGGGCTCACCTTGTACAAAATATATCCTGTCTCAGTTTCAGAACCTATTTCTCTGGGGAACTGTGGCTGTGTTTATTTGCAGAGTAGTACAAGACATGTGCTCCAGGTTCCCTCATTGCTACTGGATCTTCTTTGCTCTTAGAATTTCTCAACTGACAGAGCAAGCCAATGCATCAACTTGATACATACACGTTATCTATGAGTGTTTCCACGCAGTGATGAGTGCCTACAGTAAGCTACACAGGAGTTTATGCTGATGCCTCCAACTCTAATCCATTCCCACATCCACTCCCCATTTCAAGACCCTTCACTGTCATCTCTGCAGTCTCTTCTGCCACGTAAACTGATATTCACAGGTCTTGGGATTAGGATGTGAACCTGTTCCACGGGGAATGAACCAGCCTCTGACAGCACAAAGTTTGAATTGACATTTCCCTAATGACTCATGATGTTGAGTGAATTTTATGAGCTTATTTGCCATTATTACTTTTTTTTTTTTTTGACATAGTCTCACTTGGTCGTCCTGGGCGGAGTGCTGTGGCATCACAGCTCACAACAACCTCAAACTCCTGGGCCCAAGTGATCCTCTTGCCTCAGCCTCCTGAGTAGCTGGGACTACAGTGGCCTGCCACACCACCCAGCTAGTTTTTCTATTTTTAGTAGAGATGTGGTCTTGCACTTGCTCAGGCTGGTCTTGAACTCCTGAGCTCAGATGATCTGATCCACCTGCCTCAGCCTCCCAGAGTGCTGGGATTACAGTTGTGAGCCACCATGCCCACCTATGATTATTACGTTTTCTTTGGTAAGGTGTCTGATCAAATCTTTTGCCCATATTTAAAATGTGGGACTGTTGTTATAGAGTTTTGAGAGATCTTTACATATTCTGGACAGAGGTTTTTATCAGATTTATGCCTTGCAAACATTTCTCCCAGTGGCTTTAGATTTTGGCTTTAGGTCTCTATCTTTGTAGATTATGGTGTTTGGTATTTTATTTTATTTCATTTTTTTACGACAGAATCTCAACCTGTCACCCTTGTGGTGTCATAGCTCACAGCAGCCTCCAACTCTTGGGCTCAAGAGATACTCTTGCCTCAGTTTTTCTGTTTTTAGCAGAGATGGGTCTCGCTCTGGCTCAGGCTGGTCTCCATCCACCCGTCTTGGCCCCCCAAGTGCTGGGATGACGGCCGTGAGCCACTGCCCCCGGCCCGGGGTTTGGTATTTTAAAAATCAACTCGTGCTGAGCACTTGCTGAGCACACATTGTGTGGTGTGTCTTATTCGTGAAGACAGTCAATGCTGGACCACAGGCTTTACTTTATGATTTAAAGGAGACTTTTCAAAGGAAGTAACGAGTATCAAGAAAAGGGAAATTCCTAGATTTACAATTTCCTTTTTACCAACGTGCCGTTTATACATGTTTTTTATAGGTTACAACATTTAGACATAATTTTTTACATCTACAAAATACAGTAAAAATAGACTAACATTTCTCTCAGCACACACGAATGGTCAGCAGTCTCCGCATATTCATACTCAATTTCCCCTCTTATTGTTATTGTCATTATCATTACGAATAAAGGGTGCACGAAAAGAAATTAGAGAAACCGGCTTCAGAATTCCCGGACTCCAGCCCGCCCGCTTTCCCGAGTCGAGGAGCCCTTGTTCCTTCTCGGATACCGTAGGGGGCTGTGCCGCGACGATACCTGGGAAATGTAGTCCGCAGGGCCGAGCGCGACGTTCTGCCGGCCGCCGTGGGCTCTCCCGTGCGCAGGCGCAGTCGCACCCGGAGGCTTGGCGACGAGAAAGGGTCCCTGAACTGGGTGATTCGTTCGCCTCCTGAGCTGTGCGCGGTTCCGGGCGCCCCCGCCGCGGGCCTGGGCTCAGGTTCGGGTGCGAGCCGGCCCGGGGCGTGCGGCTGCCGTGGCGGGAGCAGAGCGGCGGGCCGGCCGCTGCGCCAGTGTCTGTGGAGCCCGGGGAGCCGCGCGGCCTCGGCAGGTGACCTCGGCCGTGGAGGGGGCGTTGCCGGGAAGCCCCCGCGGAGGCCGCAAGGCCGCGCCGCAGCCGCGCCCCCGAGAATCGGCCCCGGGAGAGTCTGCGGAAGACTGTGTCAGTGCGGGGTCCGTGAGCCTCGGGGCGATTTTCGACTTTGAGCGGTTGTTAGTTTAACCCTAACCCTCCTGCTCCGTTCACATGAGTTTAAACTTTGAAAAATACTGTTTTTTCGCCAGCCCTCCCTGTTTAGCCTTGTTTTCCTGCGGGCGATCCTCCTTTGATTTAACCATTTCCTTTTTTTGTTCAGCGTAATTTTGGCCACTTGCTAAGTTACTTCCCTTTTCTCTAAATGTTAAATTCATTTCTAGCCAGTGATGCTGTTCCTCTGAAGCTCTTTTTGGGGCGTGGGTGGGGAGGATGGGTAACATTTCCTTGAAAGCAACTCTCTGATAAAGAAAGTAGAACATCTGTGAGTCTTTGGTTGGCTAGTCCAGAAAAAGGGATCAATTCTTCAAGTGCTGTTTTCCACCTTGAATAATGTCAAATCCAGATGTGTGGACTATTTATATTGTTTCTCACTAATCTAACATTTCTGTGGACTTCGTCTGATTGTGCCCTTTACTCTGTTAATGCACATCAGATGGTTTATCCTTTTGTTTGATTCATCCGTATTCATAAACCCAGGTTTGCCCCTGGTTTGGGCAGGGCGTTCCCATCCCTCTGGCCTGCGCCCTGCCAGCTTCCCTCTGCAGGTGCTCAGCTATGCAGGTGTCTTACCTGGTGTGACCGAAGGAGGGCAGGGCAGGAGTGCAGCAGGATGAAGAGGCCTCACAGCTTCCTTCTGTGTTCTAGGAGGCCTCTGGGAGAGGGGCAACAGGAGGGAAGACAGAGCCATGGCCAGGAGCTGGCTGCCAGCCCAGGAGGAGGTGAGTGAAAGCTGCTGTGTTCTAGAGCTGCCTTCAGGGTGCAGAGGCCGTGACCTTGTTTCATCAGTTGTTGAGCTTTTCTAGGCCTTGAAGCCCAAGGAAGGCCCAGAGAGCACCTGGCAGGTGAGGAGCTCAAGAGAATGTGTCCCTCACCTCAGGGCCAGTCCAGCACCACTGGACAGTTAAGGGCTTGATGACTGGCAATTGAGTGGGGCCCCAACCCACGCCTCTGCACTCCCAGAGCTTTGTGAGGGGTCTTGGTGTGTTTTTGCCCTGTGGAGGTCAGAAGTACCCAGGAGTCATATAATTCCTTCACAGCACTGGGATTCTAAAGACAAGAGGCACTGTCTTTGCCTTCAGAAACTAAGAAGCAAATGACCCATGGGAGCAGTCGGTCTAGGGAGGGACTTCCCATAGGAGGGTGGTCCCACTGGATTATAACGGAGCTGAAAAATTCCTGTCACCTAGTGATTCATAGTTGTCATAGCACGATTACTTTAAAAAAATGAATTTAGTGCAGTCTAAGTGTATGGTGTGTGTAGAGTCTTCAGAAGTCACAGTAATATCCTAGATCTTCACATGCGCTCACCCCTTACTGACCTACAGCAACTTCCATCATGTAATCTCCATTCACAGTGAGCACCCTATCTGGGTGACCTTTTTCTTTTTTTTAATCTTTTACATCATGTCTTTACTGTCCCTTTTCTGTGTTCAGATATATATCCCTACACTGCTCAGGACAGTAACATGAGGGACAGGTTTGCAGCCTGGGAACGATAGGCTCCTGGCACCAGCTAGCCCAGGTGTGTAGGCTGTTCTCTTTGGGTTTGTGTAAGTACAGCCTGTGAGGTTCACACAATACTGAAGTCGCCTGATAGTGCATTTTAAAGGGCATTTCTATCCATCGTTAATGACACATGGCTGTATTTCATGGTAAGAATTAGGGTAATTTTCTAGAAAGACTGAAGAAAGAAACCTGTGAGCAGGTGCAGACAGGGAAGCACTCTAGCACTATAAGGTTTGGGTTCATAGAGAGGGACCAGGCTAGTGTACGTGATGAGTGGAAGGCATCCAGAAGAAGTTGAAGCATGGGCAATAGTTTGGGGGCAGATTTTGGGGGAACAGCTTTCCTTGAGATGAGGAGTGTCCTGGTCCAAGTGATTTCTTCCTTCTCCAGCTTTTCATGGCATGCAACTCTGGGTCATTGATGGGTTGTGGGGGTAATATAATTAAAAACATAATCTCTCAACCTGGAAAACCTCACTGCTAAGGTAGAAGAGCAAGAAAAGCCAGATGTGACGCACATCAGAGGCAGTCCACTAGAGAGAGATCAGAGACAGAAAGGCCACTCTTCTGTACAGCTAAGTAGATAGAACCAGTGTATTTAGGTGGGTTTTGCAACTTGGATTCAGTGACATGTTAGGCCCATCTTCTCCCAAGAGACTGAACAATTGGCCGTTATCTTTGGGGTTTTTTTGTTTGTTTGTTTTTGTTTTTTTGAGACAGATTCTCACTATGTTGCCTGGTAGAGTGCCATGGCATCACAGCTCACAGCAACCTCAAACTCTTGGGCGTAAGTGATTCTTTTGCCTCAGCCTCCCAAGTAGCTGAGGCTATAGGCACCCACCATAACACCTGGCTATTTTTTGGCTGTAGTTGTCATTGTTGTTTGGCAGGCCTGGGCTGGGTTCGAACCCACCAGCTCCGGTGTATATGGCTGGCACCCTAGCTTCCGAGCTACAGGCACCAAGCCAGCTGTTATCTTTGTTAAAAGATAAACTCTGGGACTGGGCGTGGTGGCTCATGCCTGTAATCCTAGCACTCGGGAGGCTGAGGTGTGTGGATCTCTTGAGCTCAGGAGTTCGAGACCAGCCTGAGCCTTTTCTCAGTAAGACCCCTTTCTCTAAAAGTAGCTGGGCACTGTGCTGCACATCTGTAGTCCCACCTACTTGGGATGCTGAGACAGGAGGATTTCTTGAGCCCAGGAGTTTGAGGTCACTATGAGCTGTGGTGCCACAGCACTCTATCGAGGGTGACAAGCAAAAAGAAGTAGGAACAACCTAAATGTCCACAGGTAGTTACTTAAATGAACTAGTTCATCCATGCAGTGAAATGCTGGGCAGCGGTAAAGGTGTTGAGTAGGACACAGTTCTTGTTTAAATGTGGAACTTGACAAGACACATAGCAAAGAGATAACAAAACTGTCTCTGGTGGTAGAAGGTGAGATCAACATTTCTTATTCTCTTTTTAAAAGAATTCTTAGTAAGAAAAGGAAGGGGCTTCTAGTTCAAAGTGGTGACTTGTGGTCCAGGGAAGCTGGAGAAAAACGAAAGAACAGAGGCTTCTGGGGTGGAGAGGCAGAATCCCAACCACAGCCTTTTTTCCAGCCCTTGTTGAAAGGTGGTGCGGCCACCACCAGGGCCTCTTCTGGCTGAGCTGCACCTGGGACATTCTCAGAGCCTCCCCAGCTGTGAAGGTCAGTGTCCTCTACACAAAGACAGAGGTGGCCTGTGGTGCTGACAGAAGTAGGATCCAGTGATTGCCCTTCCAGGCCAGCCAGGTGGTCTCCCATGACTCCTCCCTAAGTGAGTGTGCTGGAGCCGCCTTCTAAAACCTGACTTATGTGTCCTCCATAAGATGAGAGTTTGGTCTGGGTGATTGTTCATTTCCAAGTGCAGAGCTCCGTGTTTCTCTTGTCACTTTGTTTCATGATTGCAGCGCTCATCTTGTCTGGCTGCTGTGTTGGGGCTTTCTGAGGGTGGCTTGCTCACAGTAGACACGTGATGAGTGCACAGTGGTGACCAAGAGGCTGCCCAGAAATACTTGACTTGCAATACTCGGAACCCTGAGTGGTGACAGGGTTGCTTCTGTCATCCCAGGGGGAGGATGCTCCTGGGTGAGCAGGAATGGGTTTGCCATTCCAGGAGTCTGTGACATTCAGGGATGTGGCCGTGTTCTTCAGCCAGGACGAGTGGTCGCACCTGGACTCTGCTGAGAGGACCTTGTACCGGGAGGTGATGCTGGACAACTACAGAACCCTGGCCTCCCTGGGTAAGCAGCTTCCTGGATGCAGAATCTGCCTCAAGACCATTGTGTTTCTCTAAGAAGGATGCTGCCAGGGCTCCGGCAGGTTCGCCTTGCAGATGGGCTCAGGGAGTGGCCCTTGGTGTTCCCCTTGGTTCTGTGGAGAGCTCATGGATTGGTAGAGCTGGCAGAGGCACCTTGTCTGTGCTTTTCCTGTCTTCCTCTCCCTGAGCTCTGTCCCCAGGGTCCCACAGGGCATTCCCGCTGTGAGCGGTGCACACACAGCTTAACTCCTTTCCCAAAGCCACCCTCGGCCATCCCCCCCACCCCAGCCCAGCTTCAAACCTGTTCAGAGCAAGCCTCCTCCTGACTTTCCCTGTCTCCGTCCAGGGACTCTGGAGCTGGATCTCTGTGCCAGGATGGCCACTTACATCTTTTTCTCTGTGCATGAACAGGGATTGTGTTTTCCAAGCCAAAAGTCATCTCCCAGTTGGAGCTAGGGGAGGACCCCTGGATGGTGGAAAATGGGATTCCTCAAAGTCCACTTCTGGGTGAGTGCAGAGGGACTGGGAAGTGGACACAGAGGAGGCCGTCCCTGGGAGACACTGGCTGGGGTCTCCTGGTGTGCCAAGCCAGGTGGGGAGTGTAGGGGGCATATCCTTTCTCTCCACTTGTTTGATTACTTGATCCTTTGGGTTCTTAGGAGGGTTGAATTTTCCAGTGTGGGTTACATGTTTGTCAGGTGTCTCTTGTAGCGTGCAGCATACATAATGCAGTATGTAACGTAAAAAGGTTTGTGATTCTTGTATCTCCACTTTTTTCTTGCTTTTACTGGATTATTTTCCTAAATTATATCCCCTTCATGATTTGGACGTATCTTTATCACTACAGTACATCCCTCATAGCTCCATTTTTGGACAGTCTTGCTTTGACTTTTTTGTCTGCAAGTTAAACAGGGCCCGGTGAAAACAGTATCAGCAAAAACCCAGACGAATGTGTCTGTCTATGTACCCATGAGACAGGGAACTGGACACAGCAGTCCAGGGTACAGCAAATGGGAACAGTTGTGGAATTTAAGCAGAAGCCTCGCAGATTTTCACCATGCCATTCTTCTAACCCTTCTCCGTGAAAATTTTCAAAATAGGCTCGGCGCCTGTGGCTCAAGCAGCTAAGGCACCAACCACATACCCCTGAGCTGGTGGGTTCAAAT